CAGGAAGCCCTCTAACAGAGGTGGAGGACAGCTTTGTTGATCTCAGGGTTTGTCCAGTCGTTCCTGATATCATCCAGGTGATTATCAAAATCCACCAGGGTCTCATAGGACTTGCTGTCCAAGAGAGAGGCCGCGATCCTCTGCGCCTCCGTCCAGTCTTCACAGAAGTCACTAGGGTGGAAAAGAACCAAAAAGAGAGAGTGATCCCCTCCTAAAAAAAATTCACCACTGCCTCCTCCTCTCTGGCAACGAAGCTGCACTCCCTGCAGCCTGGTTGTGATGGTCCTACTGCTCTGTTCTCTCTCACTACAGCCAAAAAAAAACAGCTGGGAAATTGTTGTCAGCTCCACCCGCCGCCCTTGGTGTCACTCAGCTACAAAGTTTTGGCCTTAACCAGCCAAATTGTCCTTCCCCCTTGCCCAAATGGGACTGAACTCAAGGTTTTACTCACACATGTGGGTCCTTGCACCTCCACTTGTTCTCGTGGAGCTCGTAGACGTGAATGGCAGGTTCCACACACTCCATGGTGAACTTGGTGTTATCCACCTGGGGCGTGATGGAAAAAAAACAGCACTTGGAAAAACCACCCCCTCAGTCTCCTCCTTGAGATCCCAAGTGGGTGAAATAAAAACCCCAAGCCAGTTTTGACAAGCAGGGCACCTTACACTAACTCATCCACTGTTCTGGCATCCAATAAGCCAAGTTTTCCATGTTGAAACTGCCACTATTGATCACTGCAGAGAGGAGGCAAAGCACTGTGTGTTTTAGAAGAGACAGGAGGGTCTGAAGTCATGAATTTGGACCCTGGCTCAAAGCAGAAGAGGCCAGAGGTGGCCTCCACGCCCTTTGAGATGGCAAGGAGCTACCTGTGGTCTCACTAAAAACCTCACTGGCTACAGGTCACTGCATCTCCTCCCCAGGGTGTTTGAAGGGGGAAGAGAAAATTGGTTACTTCACTCTTAAAGCACCCCAAATATGGCTCGTGCAACAGCAGGGTGACAACAGGGACAAGGCAAGGAGAAGAGGGAGGGGAAAGGGATTTACCATGATGAGCGCCGTGTCGTTGAAGCTCTCAGCAATTCTGGAGGCCACCTTCTCTGCCACCTGGTTTGGGCTGCAGCAGAAGGGAGAGGTAAGTGTGGGACACGAGCCGTGACATTTCAGCTGAGAGCAGCAGGAAACACACTCAAAAAGAGAGGTGAAAAAAAAAGATCACAAGCTGTGAGCACTGACAGGAACAGGCTCTCGAGCTGATCCCACACTTGACTGAAGTCAGAAGGGCAAGAAAACCCCAGCTCCCCAATTCAGCATGTGAGCTGGAGCTCAGCTACGCTCAGGCAAAGGGTTTTTAGGTGGCAGGAGGTCGCTGCAGACTTTTGGGGATCACCACTGCAGCCTCCCACCTTCTTCTCCCAGGCAGCTTTGCCCTGGGAGGTGTTTGAGAAAGCAGCTGAGCTTGCTCCCCAGTCTGCATTTGGACCCAATTCTCTGCCAACATCAGATAACCTTCAAAGGAAACCCGTTGCCATGTTTCACAGATGACAATCTCTGCATGGTTGTCTTCAGAAATGAAATTGGAGTGGAAAAAAACCAACCCAGGCAAGGCTGTGATACCCTTTCAAACTTCAAAGAGAAGAAAAAAAACTCTCTTCTCCTTAAAAATGCCTCCAGCAGATTTGTTGTCCCTTCTAAGGAAAGGGCAAACAACACCCTTAACCCTGCTGGATACTTTAGTCACAAGGATTCCCTAAAAAAACATACTTGGGACTGAAAAAAGTGAGCAAAAGAACCAAAATACTTTACACAATAATCTTTTAAACAAGCTGTTTGTATTTATTTTAAAAGCAAGTATGATGTAGTCTCATTAATCCCAATACTGGATCTGTCTAATTGATCCAGGGGAAAATATTTGCTATCTAGAAGTTGACTGTGGCTCCACAGGAAGGTCCCTGTGTTGTGGGTTGAGTGATTTGAGTCAGCTAGCAGGGAAAAAAAATGACTGAACCTGGGGAAAATGAGTGAAGAGAGCTTGGCTGGTATCATCTTCCACTTCAAGAGTGTCTTTGCCACGTAAGAAGATGCTTTGCTAAAGCTCAGGAAGAATACAGGAAGAATTTAGTAAGAATTGGGTCAATTCTGACACAATTTTCAGGAGATACTTTGAGTTTCCAAGACACCCATGGCAGGATCAAAGATGCTTGTGAGTTTTGGCTCTTTCCTTTTAACTGGTTGGCAGCCAACCAAAAAAAATGCCCTTTTACAGGCTCCACTAAAAAGGAGAAATTCTGGCAAACTTGTTTCCCCCCCCTGAAACAAAAAACCCCCAGTCCAGAGCCACCAGCTCCACGAAGACAAGGTGAAACCAGAGGAGAGTGGTCGAGGTGAATCCCCAGGTGGGATGGAAGGGATTTGGGGGGATTTTTGTTGGCAGGGTAGAGAGCAGGGGGAGTGAAGAGCCAAGAAGAGGACACTCACCTGGCATCCCTCGCCCGCTCGTTCGCCTGGTAGTACCCAGCGATCACGTAGCTGTTCTCTTTGCACCACGAGTCAATCTGGGAAGGAATTGAGGAAAAAGGATGAAAAAAAGAAGAAAAAAAACAGGAAGAAAGAAGAAAAACACCCCTCAGGATTAAAGAAATGGCTGTGTTTCCTACAGAAGGATTTCTGTGTGTGCTTCTGATTTAACTAGAGCAGAGAGAGCGGACGGAGGATGTGGAGAGGGATGGAAAGTGAAGCACGTGGAGAGGATCCAGAGAAGGGCAACAGAACTGGGGAGGGGTCTGGGGAATGGGGCTGGTGAGGAGCAGCTGAGGGAACTGGGGGTGTTCAGTCTGGAGAAGAGCTCAGGGGAGGCCTTCTGGCTCTCTGCAGCTCCCCGAGAGGAGGTCGGAGCCAGGTGGGGTGAGCTCGTGGAGTTTATTTCTCCTGGCACATTTCTGGAGCATTTTAAACCTGAATTAGCAACTAAAGCTCCATGTGCCTGGTAAACAGGAGGCAAAAAAGGTTGGTCCTAGTTCTGATTTTTCCAACCTGCCTCATTACCAAAAGCTTTATCACTTTTGTGATGAAATTTGCTTTGAGATTTCACCCTCGAGGCGACAACCGATGACTGGAGCCACTTTTTGAGCCCCGTGGGTGCCTCCTCCACTCTTCCAAATCAAAATAACCCTTTCAACCCAAACTAAACGCTCTCCTAAAAACATTCTCTGCCTCAGCCACGAGATCAGGGCTCCAGGAAGGGCATAAATGGCCTCATCTCACAGACACGCTCACTCCGGGCAGCTCCTCCCCCCTTCCACACCCACGTGGAGGTGTTTAAACCTTTGCATTTCTTGGCAGAAGATTTTGACTTGGGCAGGTACAAAACTTTTAGTTTGAGGGGTTTGTTTTGGGGTGGTTTTTGTTTTTTTTTTTAAGCAGGAGCAGGCTGCTGAATTTGCTGCTTCCCACTGGATCTGAATCCCTCCCGCCGAGTCCGCCCTGAAAACACCCAGAAACGGGAGGTTTCTCCTTAAAATGGAGGCTATCAAGTCAACAGAACACAACCCCCTGAAAGCCAGGAGCAGAAGAAACAGCCACAAATTTTCCTCTGTGTTCCCTGGAGAGCCCAGATCACAAAAAAAAAAGACCCCAAAAGCACTCTTAAAATGGGCTGACTGGCTGTTTCAACGACAACCCCATCTGGAGGGCTCAGAGCTGGAGTTTGAATTGGTTTATGGCTTGAAAACTTGGCAGAAAAGCCAAAAAAACCAGAAGTTAATATTAATAATCCTGTAAAACTCCAACCCCAAAAGTGGCTTGATTTAAAAATGGAAAAAAAACCCCAAAATTTTCCTTCTACATCGATTTTCGTTGGGTATTGAAAAGGATCTTGGAAAAAAAAAGGAGTTGGGGACAGGAGCCACCCAGAGGGACCAGGTTGTTCAGCAGCTGAACTGGAAGAGAAACAGATCCCCTCAAACCCTGCCCAAGCTCTGAAATCCTCCTTCAGGAGCAGGAATTCCAGCCATGCTCTCAAAAATTCACCTACTCTGGAGAAAAGCATCAAATCCTGACCCAAAAACCCCTCCACAGCTTGCAAAAGATATTAGACAATTTATTTTACATCTCACTGGCAACTCCACGTCCTCGTTCTCAG